CAAACCAGAGGGAGCGCAGGGTTGGACATCTGTGCCTCCACCAGAGCAGTACTAACTCCAGAGATGGGAGTTCAAATCATTCCCACAGGGTAAAAGGACCTCTTCCCAAAGGAACAGTAGGCTTATTATTGGGACGCAGCTCTTCTACTCTAAAAGGACTTATGATAAGTCCTTGGGTAATTGATCCCGATTATGAAGGTGAAATAAAAATTATAACCAGTTCTCCAAAGGGTATATCAGTAATTTCACCAGGAGATAGAATAGCACAGTTACTAATAATACCCAGCCTACATGATAAATTTTCCAGTCGTACAGTAGAAAGAGGTTCCAAGGAATTAGGCTCCACAGGTGTAGATTGGGCTATGCTTTCTTTAAATTTATATTCTCTCCCCATGCTAAAACTAAATATTCAAGGACATGAATTTAATGGGCTACTGGATACAGATGCAGACCTTAGCATCATCTCTCGTCAAGAATGGCCAAAACATTGGCCATTACAATAAGGCACTCAAATGCTTCGAGGCCTAGGAGAGGTGACTAATCCCCATAGAAGTGCAATGGTATTAGATTGAAAGGATCCTGAAGGATGTGAAGGAACTATACAGCCATATGTATTGGATCATCTTCCCATAAATTTATGGGGACGAGATGTCCTAGATCAATTAGGTTTGACATTAACAAATAACATCAACCAAAATGCACCCACTATTATGAATAGACAAGGTTTTAGGAAAGGAAAAAAGATTAGAAAAACAAGAACAAGGTATAGCAGCACCAATACAAATAGATCAAGGAACGGACAGACATGGGTTGGATTTTCAGAAAGGGCCACTGAGAAAATAAAAATTACTTGGAAATCAGAAAGACCAGTATGGGTTCCTCAGTGGCCCCTGACTAAAGAAAACATACAAGCAGTCCATGACCTGGTCAAACAACAATTAGCAGAAGGATATATACAACCTTCTGTATCTCCCCATAATACTTCCATTTTTTTCATCAAAAAGAAATCTGGTAAATGGAGATTATTGCAAGATTTAAGAGCCATTAATAATGAGATGGTTATTATGGGACCTGTTTAATCGGGGATTCCACAATTGTCTGCTTTGCCAAAAACTTGGTATGTTTTAGTTATAGATATTAAAGATTGTTTTTTTTCAATTCCAGTTCATCCTGAGGATAGTCCACGTTTTGCATTTACTATCCCTGCACTAAATCATGAAGGTCCTGATCAGAGATATGAATGGAAAGAACTCCCTCAAGGGATGACTAACAGCCCAACTATGTGTCAAATTTATGTTAACAAAG